ACACTCATCAGCATCCCACTGAGAAGTTTCAAACTGTCAGCCAACATGCACCAACTCCAAATTGGAGTTAAATTGAACAGACGTCCAGCTGGAGAATGGCCAAGACAAGCAGGCCTGAGCATCACAGCAGCAGCAGATGTCGATGAAGGTTTTTAATGGAGTTGAATTAATTCACGCAGGGTGTAATTTGTCCAGTGGATGCAGGAGGCGTACTAAGCCTGATCTTTTTAGGGGTCACGGGAGTTGTTATATTGATAGACATCTGCTGAGAGGGTCTGCAAATTTGCAAAAACTGACAGATCTGCTCTGATGCTAAGATAATGATAAACCGTATTATTCCAATGTGAAGCCAAAGCCATGTCCACATGTGAGGATATGTTCAAAGTCCTGAAATAATGGCACACTTTTATTTCCAAGTATATAATGGTACAGTTACTAGAGGTCCACATAGACATCTTTAAATACATTTCAAAGGCCCACTCTGTCTTTTTTTTTGACCATACATGTTCTTACACAGAAAGTGATGTAAGGATGAAATGCTGCCATTTGTGTGTTTCTCAGCTGAACATAAGTAGAAATATAGGCCTGTTTCTCATCACTTCTACAAGCAATATTAATTAGAATTGGGTCATTTGTCTTTAACCATGAGGAAACCAGCCCTCAGTGAGCTCCACATCAGTTTGAATCCCAGAAAACAATGTGAGATTGAGCACATGGTTCAGAGGTTTGAAACCTGGTGTTCAGAGAGCTGAGAGTCACAGCAGCTTCCAATCTTGTTTTCTGATTGTTGGTGGTGACGGTAACCCTTGCTGTTGAGGTTTACATAGACTGCTCTCAATGGCAAGGGACATGATTAAAACCCAGTCTTGCCACTCAGGTGGGTTTGCAGCATTTCACCTTACACCTTTTCTCCTGGTAGAATCATTTTAAAATTAGTCGGGCTGCCGTCCAATCAGGCATCAGTGTTGTGAGTGTTGAAGACTTCAGGCTAATTAATTCATTAACTGACTTCAGCTGCATTTAATTATAAAACTGCAAACACGTGGTCACTTGTGTACACAAACTGGCTACTGTAAGGATCCAGCCTGACCATTCAATGACAGGACGCTCACTGTAAACACTTCTCTGGGTCTCGTTCCGATTGCATTTGAGCGTCTTCAGCTCCATTTAAGCTACGTGATGCTCTAGGCCCAGAGTTGTAGTAGTTCTCACTGACACTGATCTGAAACAGACTTAAGCATCACACTGTCATTTTTTACTTGGCTTTCTAAGAGGTTACATGGTGTATTTGGAAATATCCAGCTTTGGGAAACATTGAAATAGAAATACTGCATTGTCTATAAAAAAAACATTAGGCCAAGGACAATTGCTTTTATTTTGACGGGATATTAAAGGAGAATACAGAAAGAAGTTTCAGATTTATTTTGGTGGTTATTCTTGGATTATGCTCTTGCTTCGTTACTTCATAGTCTGGATTCGGTCTATGCTGCACTGCCACCTGCTGGTACTTGGCCTACATGTGTTCACCCAATAACAAAGGGTTAGACTTCGAGCTAAGAGAAGAAGTTTTCAGAGGCATACTCTAATCCTTAGTAAAGTTACCTTTAGGTGCATTAGGTTATATGGGAGCACAGTACACACAGAATGTGTAAGGAGGAAATATATGGGGAAACAAAAAGACATTGTAGGTTTTTAGCCTAGAAGCTTTATATTTAATTTTAATATGTTGTAAATTTGTATAGCTGCCATCTTGACCAATCTCCTTTTTTTTAAAAAAAGAGAGAGATCTTGATCTCAACAGGACTTCCTGGTAAAATAAAGGTTAAATAATATATCACCCACAATTAACAAAGCTAGCTTGTCTCTAACTGAATATGCACAAAGGAAATCAGTCCAAAGGTCTCAATCATTCGAAGGCCAAATAGAAGCATCATACAGCTATAGATTCCGCTGACCTTTTCACTGACATTATTTGCACTAAACATGTATTTGAAATCCATGTTACAGGACTCTAATTATATTTACTGAAACAATCAACAATTGTAACAAAAGCCAGCACTTTGAGACTTCACTATTTTAATACTGGTGCCACATACTGTGGCTGCTTTGCCTTCTGAGAGATGTATTTGCCTGATTTCACTTTCCTTGAATGCTTATGTACACATTTTTATGGTTCCCACAACACTGAAGACTCAAACTTAGGATGTACAGTACTTCAGCCACTTTCAAAGTAAAATTTCATTTTTGTTTTTACTGGGAAGTTACTTTATTATGGTCACTGAATGCTTCAGATACATTTATCATGTCAGTTACATATAAACAAAAATAAAAATATTAAAGTTTCCTCTTCCTATTGTATGCAGAGTGAAGAGCTGTGTAACCCTGTAAGGCATTTGCCTTGGTTCCAGGTCCAAAACCTGGTCTGCCTGGACAGAAATGAGGGTCCTGACTGCAGAAAACACTGCTTTTCCTTACCAACCACTGCCAAAGTACCTTCAAGCAACATACATTCAACTGTTGCAACAACCAACATGACAAGTCTGTTGCTGCACTTTTACTAGAAGCAAGCTTGGTTAAGTCTGAAGCAGAAGGTTGAAAGAAAAGGTAGAATTGAAGAGAAAAAAATGGCCTGTGTCACGTCTTGTCATTAAAATGCAATTTAAAATTAAATATTGCATTTAAAACCGACACTGGAGCAAAAAAACCCACCCGAGTTCTCATTTCTTGCTGTTATTGGAAGAGACTTTTTCTACAATTGATTTCTTTTAACTGAACTGTCATTTTCTGCCTTTGTTCTTTCATCAAGCTCTTCTTTTGCCTGAGGACGTGATTGTATTTCAGTGCCACTTTGCAGTCATTCACACCGTACTGTAAACCATCAGTCTAGTTAAACAACACTGCCATCCACTGCCTGTGACAGGCACATACTCTGCTGGAGGTCACTGACTGAGAAAAATCATACTGGAACCTGCCTTCATGATATTTTTAACCTTTATTCATGCAAGGTTTGCCCTTTTCTTGCCACACATGAGCAATTTGACACGTTCAACTGCAGCCATCTGAAGCTTCCTGCAGCAGTTCGATACAAATGTGACTCAGTGGCACCTTATTTCTGAGGAAAGGTTTTAAACAGCAGCTGTGCAGTAGTGCTACACTGAGTGACACTAGAAGAACAATGAATACTGCTTGAAACACATACTTTCTCCACTCTCCTGCTCCATCTCTAAGGCCACTTTTGCTTTTTATTCACAAGAAAATAGATTGATCCACTTGATAAAGTACCCAGAAGGCTCCTGAAAAGTTTTTTAAACTAAAAAGGGGTGATTCACCTCAAATTCAATCATCTCTACCAGTGAAGCTGTATTAAGTTTCACCTGCTGTTGTTTTAAATGATCCGTCTCCGATTTTCTGCTGCCACTCCAACAAAACGGAGGTGAATGTCATTTTATCTTCTGGTGCTCAAAGAAATGAAAATTTGCATTTGAAGTTTACATTCTAACATTTTTTTCTAGCATAGTCTGTAGATTGCCCACAGTAACTGAAGTACTGTTTCTAGAGAGATAAACTCTCAGTGCCCCAGTAAGACCCAAACTACCACTGCTAATTTAAAGTATTCCTGAGTCTTACACAGTGAGGAAAATGGGAGGCATCCATCTTTGATTCAAAGAACCCCCAAGTTTTCTTTTTAGAGATCTGTTTGCAAAGATTTGGGTATTTTTGTAATTTTGAATAGAATGTTTGAAACGAGCATTTGGATTTAGGATTCTGTTCCCACCTAACAAGTACTGTAGCTGCATCGCATTACTGGCTAATTGCAGGCACACTGCTGCTGGACTGAGCTCAGATTTTGCAGGCCACTTCAGAGTTGCTCACAGCAGGAGTAAAATCCAGCTCTTATGCCCACTGATTAACAACTTCACACATTCTGTAACCAAGCTTTATATGTAGAACAAAAGAAACTATTTGTAGCAAATCCTGTGGCAGTAAGCAGTTTGCTAGATGAGCAGGCTTCAGGGAGAGATAAACATGCATGTATATGCTAAAAGAATATATTGTTTTAATTAAACATGGCCAAGTGTCTGCTGAGCAAAACATACTCCTTTCCACTGGTTTGGGATTTTTCGTGTTGGTATTAAAAGAATGTTGATGTGAAATCTAGTTTTCTTCAGGTCAGAGCTATAGCCAAAGTTTAACCTCTTCTCTCTTTTCCTGATCTCGAAAAAGTGAGTTATGTGTTTATCACATCACGACTTGATTACTGTAATTCCCTGTACTCAGGAATCAGCCAGTCTTTATTGTCTAGATTGCAGCTCCTTCAAAATGTGGCTGTTAGGAACCTAACAGGAGCATGCAAGTATGATATTCCTCCTACACTTACATCACTTCATTGGCTCCCAGTTCAAGATCCTTCTGGTTATTACTCAAAGGGGATCATGCTTTTGCAGATTTTTGACAGTTTTTAAACTGCTCTATTTGTTATTTTCTTGACTGATGTAGCACTTTGGTCAACTCCTGTTGTTTTAACTGTGCTTATGAAATAAATTGATTGATTGGTTGATTGGTGTGTGCATTTGCACGTGAAAAATGGTTTTAACGCGTAAAAACAAGGGACAAAATACACAGCCCTCATTCTGTGTAAAAAAAACTCACTACAGCGTTCGTCTGAGGCAGAAATAAAGCTTCAGCTGTCTCACTAAGCCAATTCGAGTCAGTCTCTATCAAAGATAGTCCATTTTAAGCAAATTCATCTCTTATGACCACAGTAGTTCCCTGCGGCGGAGGGATACATTTAAATAGTCTCGTGTAAATTCTGATAACAAAACAGACATAATCAATATCACCACCTCTAGTGGTTATCATAGCAGGCCAGTACCCTGGAAGATATCTGAGTCAGTGTCACTGTTACACATCTGACTGCATGAGGAACATTGTCTTACACATTACACTTTAGTTTTGTTAACTGAATAATAACATTATGTATCCTATTTATTTGCACTTACCGTCTTGTCAACTGCTGGTAGCTCGACTGGTGATGGCACAGCTGTTCTGCTTTAGGTCACAACATTTCTACAGTGGAAACGGCTCCACGTCACTCTGTGGGCTTTGCAGACTGTGTTAATGGGTATTAGACACGGCTTGGTCCATTCAGAGTCTCTCAGGTAAACAAGGTAGAACGGTTTTGCCTGTTGCTTGTTTCGTTCACAACACCCTGGATAAATGCTACCAGGGACTTGTTTTAATTCACACAAGGTGAGGTGGGTGGGGGCTGGAGTGTTTCTGAGATGTCACACAGGTGGTCTACAAATAATGCAGTACACAGGAGCAGGTTTGTGTTCCATAAATTGCAAAACAGTGATGCTACGCTCAAAGGAAGACGACTCCTCTTCTTCCTCCTTGAGCTTTTAGCGCGTTGACATCGGAGCAAAAGGACTCGACCCGACACTGTTTGCACCTTTGAAATCAAAAGTACTGCCACCAAGTGTTTGTCTGGCTGTAGCCAATCCCATCTGACACTGGGCAAGAGGAGGAGTCCACCCTGGACAGGTCACCAGTCAAACGCAGGGCTGATATAGACAAACAACCACACACGGGCAATTTCGAACCTAAGATGCATGTCTTTGGACTGTGAGAGGAGAGAACCCAGGCAGGCACAAGGAGAACATGCAGACTCCACACAGAAAGGCACCAGGTCGGCCGTGGTTTGAACCCAGAACCTTGTTACTGTGAAGTGAGAGCACTAACCACTGCTCCGCCATGCCAGCCAATTAATATGGAATTAAAATCTTCCTAAAATCTCTAAGCAGGACCATCACCCACATGAGGTTGTTAGTCAAAATTTCCTTAAAATAAAACAAAAAAAAACTAGCATTTTTGATTTTTTGATAGTATGCACTGAATTCATTTAAAGACTGTTTCAAAGCCCTCCCCACTTTCCCAGGAATATACTGTAATAATTCTGGTAGCGACATACAGTAGCCTACAAAGACATAGTGGGTCTAAACCTTTGAGAAACAGCCTTTGAAACCCCAACTATAGTTTGTCTGTAAGTGCAGATGTAAATGCCCCTCAGGTGCTCAAAACCCCCAAATCCCTGCAGCTCCTGAGCCTTCCTCTATATCCATGAAGTGGATGAGAAAGGTTTAGAGAGGCTCTTGGTAAACCAGCAGGTACATGGAAAAAAGACAGTCACATGACACTGGTTTTATATCATGAATCCTTTAATCATATCCTGAAACAAAACAGACTTTGTGTGCAGTGAAGAAATAGAGTAAATAAATATAGTTTCTCAGAGATACACATTTTGCTTGATGCTTGGGATTTTTTTTTCAGGACCTACATCTGAGCAGGATACAGGCAGGCTGCGATGCTGGACGAACAACCGAAGGGTTTGTCTGGCTAAAAACAACAACAGGAAAAGGAATAAAACACTGCAGCTACAAGAAGAGCGAGAAAAGAAACACAGTCACATCTTCACAAAAAGTAAATGTCTGGTCCCCTAATGCGTCACCTCGGCCTCAGGGATGGTTGTCAGTAATTTGTACTTCTTTTTAAGATGTACGGCCTCCGGGACTTGGTGGTGTGCGCTGTTTGCCTCTTCAGGATGTAGGGAGACTTTCGTTTCAGCAGAGCGTCACCGTCCTCCCCTAAATATTCTACAGAGTCTTGCAGTAGCTGTTAGGGACAGAGGGAGACACGGTAGGAGGCATCAGTGTCAGGAAATGGTAGGAAAACATGTTGTGTTGCCAAGTGGCAGGGTAGTGGGGAGCTGTGTCAGTGTAGCTGTGATTAAAAAAGAAAAGCAAAGAAATATTTAAAAAGCTGCTGTGTAAGGAGGTGAGATTGAAAGCAGGATGATGGAGGGGAGGGAGGAGGGGTGAGAGAGGGGATTTAATGAGATGTGTTTTCAGCACGAGAAGATACGTGGACTCTGTGTGGGTGTGTGAAGTGCATGTTTGCATGTGTATAACTGTACATGTAATTATATGCATGTCAGCCAGGATTTGCTGTTGTTGGCTTTACTGACATATTGTGTGACATATTTGTTTTTGCAAAACTCAATCTTAACAATTAACAGATAGAAGGTTTTCACAATTAACCATTTTACACAATTATCCCTAAATTTTAAGATCTCTGTATTTATTATGTAAATTTGAGTCTGTAGTAAACAGAATTAATGGTACTGTATTTTGTGTATCTTTCTTGTCCACTACATATGAAACAAAAGGTCACTCTAAAATGTACTTTCTACTCCGCTGTCTCTTCCTAGTTACTTTGCATGTATACAGTATTAATGTCTTAGCATTTAGTTTAACCTCATGCAAAAAAAAGGTTTAGAGAAATTTCCTCAACTTGTCAAACAACGTCTAATCATTCAATCTGAGAATATTCCAAACCAAACAACACTGTGATTAATCTCCAGTTTGAGACATAAGCAGTTCAAACCTCTGAATGAGACCACCGATGAGTACTTTGACCTATGACACATGAATACATTTAGTTTTGTCTAAGACTTTAGTTTTTATTTTAAAAGATAATACACAAATATATGGATAGAGCATGTCACGTATAAACCACATACTGTCACGGATAACAGAATAATGTTGACTAAAAGGCATCTAAAGAATTAAGAATTACTGACACACTAACACTCTGTAGCTACACTAACAGTGCAAACATACAACAAAAAACACGTTTTATGGAATGACTAATTTTTCTTTGTGTGTGTGTGTCTCACCCTCTCCTCCCGGCTCTGCAGAGCTCGGCAGATGTACCGCAGGCTGTACAGATCCTCCAGCAGCTGGACGCTCCCATCCATCAGACTGTCCTCCTGCTCCTCGCCGCTCCACGCCTCCTGCCACAGGCTGCTCACCATCCTGCACAGGTTGGTCAGTGACACGCGCCAGTAGGGGGCACTCTGCTTATTCTGTTTCATCTGCAAAGAGGGAACAAGGGGAGAAACGGGAAGCTGGTTCGCCTGAGAAGGACTGGCTTTCAAATTGAGTTCAGGAAGTGATTGGTTTTTCAAATTCAAAACTTGGCAATATTTAGATCCTGGATGTGAGGAGGCGATTTTATCTAAGTTTCGATCAATGTTCGGAACTGAGGTGAAGCAAAAATGGATCTGAGTCTGGACGGAGGACCACAGAGGATACTATGCAAACACAGTTGTTGTGCTGACACCTTATGTGTCGAGCACGGTGACCTTTTTCCCTGTTTTAAACGATATAGACAATAAATATGGATTTTTCTCTTCAGGTTTATGAACTCTATTAAAATTCTGTTTTGTCATAAATGCTTTGCTCAGACCATTCCAATCAGATAACACTGTAGACAGAGTAATAAGTACACATAAGTACAATGTGGTATATCTTATTGTTATGTTTGGCTGTGACTGTGATAGAAATTATGTCACTAAGGAAAATATTAGATAGTAGTTATGACACTGCATTGCTTTATATTATAGGTTTTTTGGTCCATGTCCCAAAACATACAGACTGTGGGGAGACTGATGTCATGTTTTTGGTTTCCACAAAATATGTTTTATATTGTTTCCCCAGTCAGAATCTCACTCGTCATGGATGCTGAAGCTCGTGTTTTGTCTTTTTATTTCAACTAACAACACTGGTTTGAAGTTTTGTCCTTTCATAGCTTAGGTTTTATGCACAGATGGAGTAGATGCAGCCTCGTTTAATGAGCTGTGTACCCACTGAAGTCAAAAAGCTATTTTGGATGTTTTCCACACAACAGTTTAAGGCACTGTGTTGTTGCCATTGCAGCAGTAAAGGCTGCGCTAATTCCCGTTAAGAGGTACTGAAGATACTGCATTTGAGGTTTTCACTTAACATTCTCCATCAGTGCTCACAACGTTGAGCCGGCAGCTAAGATGCAGACTGTTGTGTGCTTTTTCTTAAACACCATACACCCAGAGTGATTTCTCAGTCACATCTAACTCTGCCCCCTTCACATCTAGCTGCAGCCTATTGTATTATAATCTAGTTTGAGTGCTTTAAGAGAGTGAAGGGCCCCGGGGCCCCCTCCTGTGCGTGGGCCAGCATCTCGCACACACTGCCGCCAAGATCTGTGGGTGTTACTGAGAATGACGAAGAGGTTCAGAGGTCTAAGGGAAATTGTTTCTTAAAAGTTACTGTAAATGGCCACAAGCTCACTTTGCTCACATGGTTTATGAGCTGCACAGGAACACAGTCCCCTCTGAGGTTGTGAAGACAGGCACCAAGTCAGATGCAGGTTTTTTGTTTGGCAGGTGGGAGACATACTGTGTAGTAAAAACCGTCGAGACATCCAAAGAACAACCACGGCACTGAACAAACATAAGCACCGACATTTAGAAATAATTCATGAATCAAAAATTTCACTGTTTTTCATTTAGGTTTAAATGAATAAAGTGAAAGAAAAGCCACATGAAGCGTTGCTTCTTTTATTTAGCTTCATCAGGATCTTCTCACCAAACACTTTATCAATAAGGTTAATCAGGATCAATCAGAGGTCTGATATTCTAACACTCCCCACTGGCCCTTTGTTATTAATAAACCGGTTCTGTCTCAGTGGTCAAACTGTCCAGACTAACAAATGGTTGTAGAACCACATAATCATGTTCAACAGAGAAATAAGAGCTGGTGAGGGAATGCACCTCCTGCATCTGATCAGATCAAAAAAAAGAGTGGATATGCAGGCCAATCAGTTAAAAAGTGATCATGTACATCATTGAGATATAAAGCTACAAGTATCTTCTACAACACTGCACTTAGCAGCCTTTCAAGCCTTTAAGTCTGACAAGTTACTATTACAATCATGGCCCTGAGCAGCCTCCGGGCCTCAGCAGCAGTGATTCACATGCTTGATTTGTCACTGTCACGTCTCTGTTCGAGCTCCATGGTTATTTATCAGAGAAGGGAGGAAGATGTGTCACTGTGATGGTGTCTGGTCCGTTTGAATCCTATTAGGCTCGGCCATCCGTCTCCTCGTGCCTCTAGTCTCGCTTTCACCGACTTTATCCCTCAGCTGTGGCGCACAGCACCAAATAAATGTGATATAAAAATCTTACACTTAAAACCGAATAACTTCCCCAGGCTCAGCTTATTTTCTTTTCATCTGAAAGGATATTCCCTTTGGCTGCAGCTACCGGGGTGAGTTGATTATATTGTTTTCTCTCTGCACATTTGAACTGAGTAAGTGAGACTTTCATTTCAAGTCAAAACTAGATCAATCCAAAAGCAAGTTAGACCCCGAGTGACACAAACAAACCCTCTAATAATAAGTTATTGATCTTCCGCTCAGCATGAGCACAACTAAAAGGTGAGCCCGTGGAGCAAGCACGTATCCAGATTGCATGAAAGCACACGTGGGCAGCGCATGTGTGTGGGGTCAGGTGAGAGGGTGTGCGGGGTCACGAGCCGACTGGATGTACTGAAGCCCTGTGGACACCCTGTTTCTGATGTCACAGGTGCAGAAAGAGAGGACTCCATACCTTAGAGGAGAAGAGACTGCTGAGAAGCTCCTCGTCGACCGTTCGCTGCTCCTGGTCAACGTCTGCCAGTTAGAGGAGAAATGAGAACGTAACCTTCCACCAAATCTAATCTGGAGTTAAATCACTTCTGAGTGATTGTTGCAGAAGAAAGGTCAGTTCAATATGGAAGTAGAGAATATTCTTATTCAGCTTGTCTAATGTTTCAACTGTTTCACCGTTTGCAGTTCAGAGGACTTTGCAACATTTGTGTCGTAAATGTAATTGGAGACATTTGCTGGCAGACACCTGTCCAACAGGTAGCACACATTTACATGACAGAACTCGCTGAGGGTCCACAATGCAAATTAGCCCATAAAGCTTTACTAATCCAACATCCAGGATCGGTTTTTAATAATGCCACAAACATTTTTTGCATAAACAGGATTAAAATAAGAAATAAACTTTTTACTTTTTTATTTTTTATATTTTACAGGTTAACTGCTCATTGGTTGATATACTATAGTCTAATTCACCAGATTACAGGATTTAATGTAAAACAAATAAATAATCTTTATTTTCAATCAACAGAAATAATAGATTCTGATGACGGCATTATAACCTAATTTACTGTCCAAATTAGTTTAAAAAAGATTTTCTCCAGGCATAATCAGAATCAGTACGTTGTGTAGAAAATGTATGCTACAGAATTTTAATAAATTGTGTCACCAGAAAAATGAAATGATAGATTTAGGAATAAATCATGTTTGCAGCCCAGTCAGACAACTCAAAGTCAGAAAACCATGATGATAAAAACATATGTTGACAAGTAAATTTCTTATTTTAAAAGCAGAACCATTTCCTTGATTTATAATGTTCTGTTTTAAGAAACTTACTGTGGTGAAACCACATTAGAATGATGCACCTGTTGCATACAGAAAGTTATATGAGAGGCAAATGGCTACACCGTGTGGAAGTGTCAAGGCTTTTTGTCCTATGTTGTTTCTATGAATGAATGATAAATCATAACATGATGCATGCATGAAAAGCCTGTTGTGCTTACCTGTACAAAGTCCACCACATGAGAAACAGAGGAGAAGCATGCATGCCAATTGTGCCTGCATCTTGTTGAGTGTATAAACAGAAAGAGAAAAGGATCCCACACTGAAGAATTCACCTGAGGAAGAATCTAGTCCATAAGGTTAAGGGTCGGACACACACCGCTGCAGAGACTGGACAGGGAAGGTGTAATGATGCTGCTGCTGCCGCTTCCTCTTCTTTTTCTCTCCCAGCTCCAAACAGTGCTTCCCTTTCCTCACAGTTTTCTGGATGGATATGAAGTACAGTGGGCTCCATTCTCTCAGTATATAAGAGCCAGTGTGATGGCAGAGGATCAGCCCCCCCCCCCCTCGCGCCCTGCTCATTCCCCAATAACACAGCCCTCTCCATCCATTCCACCCCTCCCTCCCAACTCTCCTCCTGTTGCTGTGTCATCGTTTCATCAGACGTCACTTTGGCATCACAAGGCAAAAGGTTCTTGCGTCACGGTTTTGCAGATTTGGCTGTTTCATCTGACACACGCACACAGTTTGTTTTGCCCCTGTCTCTCGAGGACAGGGGCCAGAGGTGATGTAGAAGGGTGGGAGTGTGAACAACAGAGAGTTGCTTTTTGTATCACTGTAAGAAGACGCTGCTGCTATATCACCTTTTTTTTCAGACTAAGTCTGTTTTCAAATCAACCTTTAAACTGAGGACACTAAAGATGTAAACCACTTTGAGTCGTAGTTTTTCTTTTAAAATATGTACTAGCTGTTTTGAAACTTCTGACCATGACCTTCATCAGCAGGTGGACCTGGCCTAGTTCTCTGAGACTTGTAGATGTAGACATTTACATTTTTCTGAGCAGGTCAAGGACACAGCTTGTTCAACATTCTTTCTCAAATTTGGAAATAAAAGTTAAGAAAACAATCACACAAGGTTCTTAACTAGCTAAGAGCTTCTGATCATATATCCATAATAATTTTAGCTTCAAGGTTTTCATTCAAAACTACTAGATTCTGAATAAGCAGATTTGCTCTTCACACCATAAGAAAGATTCCTCTTAGCTCCAGTGACATGGTATGCAAGTAATTAAAAATAAAAGCACGACAAAGTCATCCATTCTATTCTGATGTGATCTCTGACATATTTGTTAATCCAGCAGCTATTGTGTTCTTACACAAATATCAAAATAAAACAAATACAAATGTGTTTAATACCTTACGATGGGGTTCCACAGGGATGTGTTTAAGATCCTCTCCTCTTACATGATTTAGGGCTCACCCTAAAACAAACAAGGGACAATAATTCAGTCTTTCAGTCAGACACGATTCAGTCACTTCACTCTTTATGAAATGACAAGCAACATATTTAACTAACTGGATTTCATCATTTAGGTGTTGTAGTTATAAGCACCTGTGATTTGTGTTGCTTACCAAACACAAAACAGTACCTGGCATCTGAACCTTGGATCCTTCACTTAACAATATAAAAAGGTGAAAAACACTGCATATATTACGTGGTACACCTAAATAAAATCCTCTTTGATTTAAATATACAGCAGCCCAAAAGTATAGAGGATTTAATATAAAGAAAAGGTGTTTTACTTTTCTTCTGCATGTGCAGAACGGTACAGTATGAAATGACCAACTATATTTAATATGGAGAAGTTCAACCTGTCGTATTGTCTGACTTGCTTCGCGTGCTGACCCTTCTCGTTGCCCCCCTCTCAGTGAAGGGGGCAGAGTTTCACCACTAAATCTCAGCAGCCTTTGGTCTAAGAGACGCCTCCTCCGCTTTTCGGATGGGGCGGTCAGAGTTGCAGTCGGGACACCCTCAACTTTTTTGAAACTCTCCGCAAACTGTCCGACGTACTGCCATGCACGGATTGTAACGCACTCTGGATTGTTGCTCGGTGTCCTCCCCGCTCCCGAGTCATGGCTCCGTTTGGCAAAAACTTCCTGAAAGCTCGACTGAAAAACAGGTAATTTGATTAGTGTGAGGTTTCTTGACGGGAAATCAGTTATGTGCGTGCGTGTGTGTGTGTGTGTGTGTGTGTGTTCTCAAGTTCGGAGAGCTCTCCGCTGTGAACCATTGAGGAGGGAACCATTGAGCAGTGCCGTGCGCATCGGGTAAATTGTTTATGCAGTTTGTGTTGCATCCTTTGACCAGTCAGATTAGATGGATACTGCAGGCTGCTCGTCGTGGTGATACCTTGGACCATAAAAACGTACTGTAGCGTCAGACAAACCCATCCTTAAATACCACTAACAACCAGGGGGACACAGTATAAAGGAACATTAAGTTATAGGAGCATTGCTGATGAACAGGTACAGCTGCCATATGTGCATCTGGAGAAGGGAAAGGGATGTAACGTTTAACACTTGGCAACCTTTTAAATCCATGTAGCTATATGTCCTGTCAACACCTGTACTGTACAGTTTGCTTCAGCACTTTCCATAAGTGATAGGTCCCAGTCTCAGCTTATG